GTCAGTGGCAGGGGGCTTCTTCCTGCTTTCCCTTTCACCTCCCTGCATTGTGCCTACATATGCAAATTAACCGCCATCTTAGTTGGCAGTTAATTTGCATATCACCCTGATTAGACCATGGGAAGTGTGTTGGAGGTACGGTTAATTACCATGTTTGTCTATTATTAGATAGGATATATATGCTCATTGTATAAAATGTATGTGATGAAAGGGCAACCACTGAATATTATGGTGTATTTCCAACTGTTGTTATATGCATGTGTGTTTCTATACCCAAGTGATTTTTAGGATGCTATTATATAGAGATTGTATGCTATATTCTCTCCTTAGGAGAATTCATTCAATAAAGATTTCCTTGTATGTGCCACGCCCTATGCTGGTTCTGGGGACACACTGGTGACCAATAACAAGCCATTTCTATTTTCATGATCCTTATTTCACTCCTTTCTTCCACACAAACACACATGAACATAAACAGTGACCGTATTTTCCTCAGTGTCAGATCCCCAGTGTCAGGCGCACAGTAGCAATCAATAAAGATTTTCTGAAATTTACTGGGACTGGCGGACAGTAACCAAACCACAGCGCTAGTGTTATAACCCCAGTCAGGTGCCCTGGAGGAAGGAACATGTTTCTCTGGGAGCATTTAACAAATGACTGTTGGGAGGGAAGGCTTTTCTGCTCAGAGGCCACACTCTGCCGCTTTGGGGCTTCTGCACTTGCTGTCCCCAGGCTCCTCCTTTCTCTTGCAGCATAATTGCCTCTTTGTCCTTCAAACTTAGGTGTGATGATATCCCCTCAGATACTTTCTCTGAGCAAAATATCTCAGAGAGACCCACACAGTCCAGCTCAAACTCTTCTGACTTGTTGTCCCTCTTCCCAAATTACTGTTTCTATCCTAGATCTACTAGAATGCAGAGATCCTTTCTGGCTTGTAACACTGGTGTTTGCAAATGCCCCTTGTTTTTGCCATGGTACCACCACTCTTTTATAACTAGTGAGTTCCGGAAAAATGAAGTGTAATACTCAGTGGGGTCAGAAGCCCAGTAAAAATTCAAATCAAACAGGAAAACAAACATTACCTTGAGACAAATGAAGATGAAAAACAAAACCTTACAAAATTTATGAGATACAGCAAAAGCAATTCTAAGAGGAAAGTTTATAGCTATACAAGCCTTCATCAGGAAGCAGAAATGAACCCAAATAAACAATGTAATTTATGTCTAAAGGAACTAGATTGAGAAGAGCAAACAAAATCTTAAGTAAGTATATGGAAGGAAATGATAAAGATCGGAGTGAAAATAAATGAAACAGAAAATAGTAAAACAGAAAAGATCAGTGAACTAAGAGGTGGTCCTTTGAAAGGATAAATGACATTGACAGATCTTTACCAAGAATCATAATGTGAAAAGAGAGAGGACACAAAATAAAATCAGAATTGAAAGAGGAGACATTGTAGTAGACAACACAGAAATACAAAGGATCACTAAAGAATACTATGAACAATCATATGCCTACAAATAGGATAATCTAGAAAAATGGATGAATTTTTAGAAACATACATGCTTCCATGACTAAGCCAGGAAGAAACTAAGAATTTGCATAGACCAATTCTAGCAACTATATTTAAGCATAAAATTAAAAAAACATAATAAAAAACAAAAAAGTAACAAGAAACTGAAGCACTAGGGCAGACAGCCTCAAAGGTGAATTCGGCCAAATGTTTAAAGAATTAGTACCTATTCTTCTGAAACTATTTCTAAACATTGAAAAGACAGGAACACTTCCAAACTTATGCTACGAGGCCAGCTTTAGTCTGATAACCAAAACCTGACAGAGGCACTACCAAAAAGAGAATTAGAGGCCGATATCCCTGATGAACATAGATACCAAAATTCTCAACAAAATGTCAGCAAATGAAAGTCAGCATACATTAAAAAGATAACATAACATGATCAAGTGGGGTTTATATCAGGGATGCAAGGATGATTCAACATTTGCAAAACAATGCATGTGATTCATCACATCAGTAAAACCTATGATGAAAATCGTATGGTTATTTCAATAGATGCAGAAAAAGCGACTTTACTGCCACCACCATCCAAGAACCCACAC